CTTTTGCAGATGGGTTGGCCAAGCAAGGGGTGAATAGGGAGGCTATTTTTTAATCTTCTTTCATTGTAATTTTCTGATGGGGAGATAAGACTCTTTATCTCCCCCTTTTTTGTACCTAAAGCTTCATAATTCTTAATAAAGTTTCTGTTATTGATCAAAAAAAAAGATGTAAATGGATGAAAGTAGAAAGAAGGCAGTGCAGCAGGGTTGGTCAAAACTGTTGCTTGTGTTCATAGTATGTAGCACAAAAAAAAAAAAAACTCCAATATAGAACTTTAGAAGCCTGTAAAGCACAAGGATGGTTTCATTACCGATAAAAAATAAAAATAAAAATAACTTTTATGCCTGTATACATTACATACATACATATAGATATAGATATAATTTATGTACATTGTTAGGGAATGAGAGACGGATGAGGATAAAATATTCTTCAGTTATTGAGATACAAATGAAGGAGACAGACACAGTCTTCCTATTTTCATGATTCAACAGACGTCTATAATAAGGTTGATGCCCTGCCAATGCTGGAATGGCGTTAACCATGCCTTTCGTATATCAACGCTGCAGGTCCAATTATCAGGAGCTTTGGAGGTGACGAAGGGGTGATCACCAAGACAGTAACAAAGTTGATTTGTTCCTCTGTTGATGTCGCTCTCTGATGAAGTTATTTGACTGAAAGTCCAAACCTTGTTCAAATGCTATAGATGTAGATGGCCTTGACGTTCAGACTTCAGAAACAGACTATATTTGTAGATGTTCCTGTACTTGGGGGATTTAAAAGCTGAGAGAGGGATACTTGATATCAAGCAATAACTGGTGACAAGAGAAAAGAAAATTGGGAGTCCAAAAACTAAATTGCAAAATTAAAGATAAAAGAAGTAGAAACCAATGTTCAGAGAACCGGAAAAGGGAGAGGTTCACAGGTCAGAGGTTCAATCGGGATCAAACTGGAGGTTGAACCATGACGGCGTGGCATATACATATAAATACTACAGGTCATATAAATATTATATTTAATATATTTTACAACTTTTATCATACTTAAATATGGTGAATGGATGGAAAGTTCCTTACTTTTTAAAGCAAATGACTAGGGTTCAAGCCTCTTAATTCATATTTTCTTTAAAATGCGTGCCTAATAAAATATTATATACAATAAATAGTCATTAGTTAATACAAATAAAGAAGTGGATTACTGGTAATCAAGCAATACTTGAAAATAAGGGGTCAAGGGTTCAAGTCTTGTCACGCATGTTTTGAAATTTCAATTATTTAATGACCCGGCAATTTCATGAAACCGGGACCAGTTCACCGGTTTTCCAATCAAACCAGCCAGCCAGTTTTCACTGGGTTTTAACAATTCCAGTTCTTGGGGTGTCACTGAACCAGCCAGACCCCTAAGTCACAGTTCAACTGGTCCAACCAGCCAGTCTGGTTTCCTATACACTGGCAGAAACACTTTCTGAAGGATAAAAAATAAATCAAATAGCAGACCCAGCAGGTGGCTATTATACCAGACCAGCCACCCACCAGAAACATGGGAAGAAGTTGAAGAGCCTCTAGATTCAACCTTCATCTCTGATAACATGTAAATACCAGAGAAAGGTATAAAACTTGCATTTTTTTAACTATGAGAAATTAAATCAATTTATAGACTGGGATGGATAAATCCCAAACTGACTCAAACTCTTCTATCCTATACCAACTCAAATATTACATTTCAATCTTATGTCAACAATCCAAGCATATCTTATCCTCATCCGTTTCTCATTCCCTAATACATAGATGAAAGTTTAGATTTTACAAATAAAGGAGGATAAGCCATCATAAATATCAAAAGATCAATCTAACTAGATGCATGTTTTAGATTTCCATAAACCCCTCCCACTCTCTATCAAAATTAAATATCCTCACAACTTGGAATTCTCTAATATGAAAAGTCAAATCTAAGATGATAAAGCATATACACCAGTAAAAATCCCAGAAGTGGATGAGAAGCTCTGTCAAAACCCCTCCATTTTGTTCCTTCTAAATTCCCCCATGTTCACAAAAGGAAAAAAAAATAAAAATAAAAATCCACAGGATACAATATCAAGAGCCAAACCAAATGGAGGACCAAGCTGAATCACCTCGGGGGCCTAGAAGGGCAAATTAAATCCACTCAAAGGAAGACCTGAAAGAAACTCCAAGCATCTCTACCAATGTGACAGAGTAGAAACAAATGGCTGCTACTCTTCACAAGCCTGTCAATCAATTCAAATTCCATTCTCCCTTAACTGATCCACCATCAAACAAGTAGCTATAGTGCCATACAAAAGCTTCAACTCTTTGTTGTACTAAGTTCTGCAAATTCATCCAACAATAGATGTTTCAGCAAACCCTCTAATCAATTTGTCATAAAAGAAGCACACCGTAAACATACCTTTGGGGTCTTTTAACCACACCTATAAACCATGATTCCTAGTATCCAAATAACTCTTTTGAACAATCATCAATTTCTCTTTGAAGCAACAGCCTTCTGAAATTTGGACTCGTAGGCCTAAAAATTTCCCAGGTATACTTAGTAGAAGGGGCCATTGGTTGGTCCAATGGTCATCTCAGGTTGACAAGCATGAGGATGGATATTCGAGCCTGAGAGTGGACACTTCAATCAAGAAAAATCCAAAAAGTCCACATCTAGTCCACCACTCCCAAGATCCAACATAGCCAGGTCCAACAATTTTTCTATAAAATGTCATTACCCAATGATGATATCTGGGGTCTTGGGAGGGGTAGATTGGATATGGACTAACCTTTGGCATTTCTTCACAGAATGGCCACCCTTGGACTCAAACCAGCTTTCTTATGCTTGTCAGCCCAAGAATTTACCTATTTTTTTTTACAAATACCTAAAATTTTACCGTTACAACCCATGTTCTCACACTCAAACCTGTGTTCCAACATGTTCTTATAGTCAACAGAATTTGATTGTATTCATCAAAAGAAAATTCCTTACTATCCATAATTCACTCCCAAGACCAAACTAACTCTTAGATCTGGTAAAATCTTTACAATTCACTCCCAAGACCAGAAACTTCAAAAAAAATACTGCCTTGTAACCCACCTTTTGCTAGAGTACCAGCCAAGCAAGTGGCATACCTTGGGACCCACTTGAATGAGCAATTCAGGTTACTTCCTATTGCTCTTGCTTCTCTAACCAGAAATCAGTATGCCCAAGGTGTCTCTTCCTCTGATCTCAACCAAGGAATAGCTATTTGGCAGTCCCTCTCCACAATCAAACTTATACAACTGTTCATGGCAGCCAGCTTTAAACCATGAACGAGAGGCAATGATTTTGTTATGGGCCCGGGCGTAGGATCGCGTCACGGGTCGGTCCACGGGGAAAAGCTCCTGTTTTCCCTTGTTCCTCCCCTTCCTAACCGAACCTATCTTGGCGTCCTAGAGGGTGATTTGTCCAAGAGACCACCCGAACTCTCCTCAACTCTTTTCTTGACTGAAATTCTTCGATATGTTTATTGAATAATATCATCTCCTTAAATAGGAGATTACAAGAGGTAGGGATACTCCTTATTGGATTTGACTTCTTACAGATAAGATCCCTATCTTGAGAAGGATAAGACTCCCTAGATAAATCAAACTCCTACTATAAGACTCCCTACTAAACCTTATTGTACTAGATAAATGAGAAAAACAAATAAGATAACTGTGAAAGATAAGATAAAGTAAGCTGCAGCCTAATCCTACGTGGACTCCTACGTGAACACCTCGCCACTGCTGTTGCTGCTGCCTGCGGTGGTATTCTTCCCAACGAATGCATCCACAACAGATTTAGCCCTTAAGGAATTGCCATTCCCTGCTGTTCCTAAAAGGTTGAGTTAGATATTGCTCATATTATCTCCAACAGTTCCTCATATTCCTCATGCACCTGGATGGTCAGGTCCAACATTGGGCAATGGCCCTATCTACATAGATAAATTTGTGTTCTCAATGGCAAACTAGTAATTGGCCCATAAAAGAGATGAAGAAGAGAATGATAACAGAATAGTAGGAAGAAGAATGAAGAAAATAGACATCAAGATCAGTGTATAAACTCCAGACCAAGTTGAAAATGTAAATCTAATAATAAGCCAAAAGAAAGTCCAACCAAGTCCTACTAGGGTACATCCTTTATTACCTAATATCTACCTGTTAAGAAAAGATAAGGGATTAGGTAGCAAAAAACACATTAAAAAAAAAAAAAAAACAGATAACCAGAGAGTCAACCAAAAAATCTTTGAACTCATCTCTTGTCATAATCCAATACACCACTAGTAGTAACCAGGCTTATGATGCCAGACTCAGAAATCCCCACACAGCCAGTGAACAGCTTAGTGATCCTTCCCCCAAATAATCCATGGAAAAAAGCCCAAGAACTCTAACACAGGATCCATCCTCACCTTGTAGGGAAGCAAAAAAGGTGGTCAAAAAAAGACTTGAAAACTCCAGAGGCTGGTAAAGAATAGCATAATCAAAGTTATGGATGAAACCATTTGAGTAATCAATACACCCAAGTTAAAAAGAAATGAAACTTTTCTGGCTCATTAGGAGGGTTTTTGGTAATGTTCCAATACATCAATACAATGATACTTTACCTTCACTCAAAAAAAAATGTTCCAATTTCAGGTTAAATTGCTGTCACATCAGCACCATATAGATGATTCAACTTTAACATTCAAAAATCATGTTTGGTAGAGTGAATTCAACTTGAAACAGGAACATCACAGCTTGCATCAGGTTTCACACACAGAGGGCACTGGAAGAAATGTTAAAATGGCATTTGTTGGATCAGGAAGGCATTCCTGCCTCACCCGTCCTATGTGACATCGAGTGGTGCCTATGCGTTTGAAATGTCCAACAAAATATTGTCCTCCAGATTTTGTGCCAAAATGTTTCTCTGTTCCTGCTTCTACCTTCAAATACAAATAGACGAAATTCCAATGCTACCAAACACCATGTAGTTGAGACAAAGTGATTCTAGTCTGACAATCCTCCATGCCAAGCAAGCACATCAGCACTTTTAAATCTTTTTTTTTTCTTTTGGATAGTATGGGATCTTAATCTGAGGGTTTACTCTTTATACAATGTCTATTGAATTTAAATCTTTCTGTGATGTTAGGTGGTCTTCTTGCTACAGATATTCAGCTTAAAAATATTGTTTTCATGTTATTCTTTCATTCTTCTAGTACATGTGCATCTAGAAGATTAATCTTTGACAGTGACAGTATCAAAGAAGATTTTGGGTAAATCTGTGATGTCCAACAAAACAAGTGGAAGTAATAACAGGGAATAGTTAAAAATTACAAGTGTAGGTCTAAGCTGTAGGGCACTGGGAATATCTACCTGAAAGGCAGTAGATGGCGGTGGCAGTGGTTTCCGGGAATATCTACCTGAAAGGCAGTAGACCACTTTAATGCTTTAGTGCACTGCTATTACTTATGCATCAGTCGCTTGTGTAGGCTAACTGTAGGTCATTCATTGCAGGTGATGCAATGTCAAATTCCATGTACTTACAAAAAGATAGTTGGATACGGTCATATTATAAACTCAATTCTTCTATCATCGAGTCACTTAAACAGTAATTGCCTCTTCATTTTAGTTCTTTTTTTTTATTGGGGGTGACTGGAACTTAAATCATCAATGCTTAGTATTCAACTCAACTATGTTCCATCCCAACTACAGGGTTGGCTACATGAATCTTGTTCTGCCATCAATGCCATATCCATTGTTAAATTATGATATCTTGAATTATTTCTCACTACTTCAACTCATGTCTTTTTGGGTGTGCCCTATACCCACTTCAAATTGTAAGAGATCACTTCTGCTCATTGGTGGTGTAGATTCTCTTCTATGCATATGACCAAAATCACTTAGTGCATGGTGTTTACCATAAAAGTGGCTTTGTGCATTTCCAACGGGCACACACCGCATGTTTGGGGCAACTTGGTATTTCAAATTCAAGCTTGGCATTCTGAGAAAGTATTTTAACTAGAAGTGGAGGAAATAGAAGGAAAGAAAGAAAAGCACTAAGCAACATTTTCACAAACTTTCTTGTCTTCGGAAAATAATGGTGAGATATTGTGATTCTAATTACATGATGCTGTCAAAATAAATAAACTATCGCATGTATTTACATAATGAAAGAGTACAAGCACATTTTGCATGAAAAAACAATGCTTGATGCATGCAATAAAAGAAGAGGCAAATGCAGTATCAGATTATGGACAATGCCCCATCTTATTGCTTCAATTAGATACCACAGTTCCCATTTAGAAATGCAAGGAATCGAATTGTCATAAGAATATACCAAGCACAAATGCATTAACTTTAGCCAACAAACCACCAATTATAACTGCTTCAATTAACTAACTTCCAATTCACAACAAACAGGAAACCATCGAAATGAAACTACAAATTAAGATAACGAAATAAAAAAAAAAAAAGGAAGAAACACTTACGATCTTTTCCGTCTGCCCCTCCCGTTGCTTCCCTCTTCTTCCTCTTCATCCCCGTCCTCATCTTCTTCAGAATCGGAGCCATTGTTGTCTTCCGAATTTGTTTTGTGCTTACCTTCTTCTTCGTCGTCTTCTTGCTCTTCTTCGGCCTTCTCGAACTGGCTTTGAAGAAAAAGGTCGACTTGCTCTCTTATGAACGCCTTCTTGTCTGATAAATCCACTCCAAAGTCTTCTTCGAGTTTACGGCGGACAATAGCGGTGGTGGTCGTGTTCAGGTCCGACGTTTGAAGAAATTCCCGCAGCCTTTCGACGAGCTCCGAGTCCGAAACCATTTTCTCTTTCTTTTTCCCTCTTTTCTTTTCTTTTTTTTCCTGAGTTCGATAATGTTTTTGTCAAACTTTGATTTTTCTTTCTTTCGAATGTGGCGATTCTGGGCTCAGGTGAGCCAAAGAGGAAAGGACGAATTTAAGGAGGCGAGGATGAAGTGAAGGGACATTTCTGGTAATATAGAAAAAGGTTCATTTGTTCCTCGTTAGCGTGAAAGTAAACTCTCGAGTCCCGACAACTATTTTCCTGTGCTTGACGGATATGCCCTTGTACCATACCGGAACAGGCGTACACTTGTAACAGTAATGTGTCTTCAGCTAAATTACCATGGGACCCCTAATAAAATAATACCAAAATGAAAGCGTCAACCTCGGGTGAGTCCTCCATGGTCCAACGTGGTCAAAACTGTTGCCACGTGGGACATTGCAACAGTTCGGCTCAAACTCAATCCCAAATATTCCATTTCCCTATTTTTAAGAAAATCAAAAAATCTTGCAAGCCGTGTGTTATCCAATAGTTTTCGTCTAGAGAGATTTTGCAAAAAAAAAAAAAAAGAAGAATTGCAATTTCTGAGGATGCACAAAATAATTGGCCTGAATTTTTAAAAATGGCATAAGCAAAAAGCCTGTGTAAACACTATGCAAGTATGAGCACGAGGGCATCCAATCACACATTCCGAACATGACTTTAACTTTAACACATGTACGAAAGATATTCTCGATGTGTGGCTGGATCTAAGGGTTATCACCATTCACCAACAGGTGACTCACCCATTTCTTTTGAAAATGTAATTCCTCATTGTTGTACTTGTTTTCATCCTTTTATACATGTGGCAATGAACACGTACAACTTAAATATTTCAGTGTTAAAAAAAAATATCAACCACCTTGCATTGAAACAAATAAAGCCTTAAGTGGCATTTGGTAAATCTGGTGTATGGAATTTGAAAAGGGAAAAAAAACTATCATAAAGCTCTAAAGGTCATGGAAATTTTGCTTTTATGATTTTGAAGATAAATAAATGTAATAGAATATTCAATAATATGAATGTTGTGGCATATGAAAAATGTGCATTTTATAAATCTATCCCTTAAATTAGGGCTGTTCATAAGAAGCCCCAACCCGGACCAACCCAACCCGAGTTGGCCGGGTCTTCATAAACACCGGTCGGTTTCAGGTTGTACAAATTCATAAACCGATGGTTCGAGTCGGTTTCGGTTTTCTTGTGAGAAAACCAAAACCGACCCAAACTGAACCAACTTAATTCCTACTTAGCTAAGTTACCTCTATCCTAATTCCTAATTACAACCTAACCTAATCTTCTAGTTCCTACTTAACTAAGTTGTCTCTATCATAGTTTATATAGTCTTTTACACCAAATATGCAACCAATTAGGCAATTGCAATTAGAATTATGTGTCCTTTTTTACTTAGATTAGAACTTAGAAAGTTTATTGAAATATACAAATTTCAGCATTCTTTCTATAAGATAGTTTGACTTTCTATTTTCTTGATAACTTTTATCTTCTATTCTAATTCTAATTTGGTCCGCCCCCCTTAGCCCCTCAACTCAAACACAATCTCTATT